TTGTTCCTAGTAGCTTCTTGTTCTCCGAATGTCTGCAGCTCTTGTCGTTTGAATGTCTCCAGCACCGCGGTCATCTGAAGAGAGCACATCAACTACTCTCAAATGTCGCTTCAATGTTCGAAGCGGAAATCGGGTCAAAACCTGGCACCAAGGTATCCTTGCTTTGACCCACCGCCGGTGTTCACTGCTCATGAAGCGGACAGCTGGTGCTTGCCTTTATTTTGGATGCTTTTGGACGATTAAGTTTTTGAGTGTTTTTGAATGGCTTTCTGATATCTGAAAGTTCTTCTGACATGACCCTGTCTTTCCATGTTTGCCCTTTAACGCTCAAACTGTTTGTTCGACTTGGTGTTTTCCTCGGCGTGACTCTGGATGTCGAGGAGCAAACTATTTCAACCCACATAGTCTTCCTCCACCCTACCAGCGATGGCCTCCAACCGAGGAGCAAACTGTGCAACACGTTGCTGAATGCCCCAAGAAATCGCATCCACCAAAGACGGCGATCTCATCCTCAACGTTGCGAACCTCCACGCACTGCTTGTAAGATCCTGGACGCCTCAGGAAGAAACCGCTGGGTGAGGCCCCAACATTGTGCACATACGTGTGCATGGTTCCATCCATGTTCGAGATACTAAAAAAGAAAATAAGGGAGTGTCATGATGTTTGACATGATGTTTCACTAAGACATGTGACATGATGTGACTTATTCATCTTGCTAGGTTGGAGGCCCATCTACCGAGACGGTGAAAAGGCGCTCTGAGTTCGGTCTAGACGGAGTTTCAGTTCGCCAAGCAACTGAACTCAGAGATTCGGTTCATGCAAGCCAGCGAAATTGCCTCGGGCAAGGATGCTATTAGGAGCTTCGGGGCATCGCTACTAGGGGCTCCTGGCCTTACTAGTAGGAACAAGGACGCTACTAGGAGCAAGGATTGCTACTAGGAGCAAGGCGCGCAGAAAAAGAAATAAATTGCTTCCAGCAAACTGAGTTTTTGCAATGGCCTCCAACCTAATTGCAAAAATTGCCTCAGGCAAGATTGCTTTTGAACTTCCACCCGAACGTTGCTTCTACTTTGGAGGAAAAGCTGTTGGGCCTGTCAAGCAGAATAGCCTGCTCAATGGTTCAAGCATGCAATTCTTGTGTGGGCCTTTGTTGTTGGTCTTCTCCATGAATTGAATCAAACTGAAAACCGTTGTGTCTGACTTTTTTGTAAGCTTTTCTGGATCTTGCACTTCATGTCTCCTGCTCCAACAGGGGATGGTCCATGAAGGCCAAGTAACTTCATAGAGAGGCATCTCTTGATGCGACATCTTTGCAAAGGCCCAAACAGCCTGAGCACCACCCAAGACTGGAGGGTGAATCCCTGTGAGAAATCTTGCTGCGACAAACACACCCTAAATGTCACACATATTGTTTGACGTAAAACGTCGGCAGCACTCAACGTCAAGCAATATGGGCGCATTGTAATTGCAGGCGATGAATGTGAATTTGGTGAACAAGGGATGCGTGGACTGACCAGCACAGGGTCCAGGACTCTTCTTTGTTTATAGGGCTCAAATCTGATGGCGCAAATGCAAAAGCATGAATTGAAGCAGACTAGCGATGGCCTCCAATCTAAATCTTGGGGAAGCTTAACTGATTCTGTGGGAAGTTTGCTTTTGTGTTCAGTTTTCACTCCGGTCTAACGTTGCACATCCGGCTTTGAAACGCTCCACAGTCACTCAGAAGTGGCTGGACAGCCGTTGTGTTCAAGATAGCTAGAAGCTACTAGTAACAAGAAGCGATCTAGGCCAGCTGGTCAAGTAAAGTCTTTTGCGGGGTGTGGAGAACACAAAAATATAATAGGACGGAAGAACGAGCGTAATGAAAAAGAGGAGTAAAGGTTGAATCTTATTGCAGTGGCTCCTCTACATCTGGAATTTACAAGCAAGCGGAATGGCAAATGATTTCCCAAAGGTGCTTTCATGGGCGCCGATGTGTGGTTTTCGAATTCAGTTCTGGAAAACATTTGTAATGCATTTTGCAGAGGGGCCAAAGACACCCCAAATTCGTGGATCATCCCTTCCGATGCCATTGGGCGATCACCTTCTTTGATGGTCAAGTTTAAGCTTTGACGCGGAAGCTCAGAGTTTGCAAAAACTCCTTCAAGTCGGCGTGAGAGAAAAAAGAAGGCTCCCTTCAAGGGCCTTTAAAGGGACCCAAACATGTTCTTTTTTTCAATTGTTTTCCTCCGTACGTCTTCCAAGTAAGGAATCCCGCCCTGAGGTAGGGGGAGCCTCGCGCTTGGAGAAGGGTTTCTTCCCTGTCGCCTAGTACCTACTTTAAGCTGCAGGTGCTAGCTGCTAGCTTACTCAACTCACCTCACCTATCCGACCTATCCCCTCCCAAAAAAGAAGTACAAAGTAACCACCCAATTAGGTTGGAGGCCATCGACCCTTTTTTGCTGGAGCATTTCACAAAGGCTGCAAAGGCCAATTAACCACCCTTCAAAAAATGGTGCTCAGGCATGAGCCTAGGAATTCTTCATTTTGAGGTGGGCACACAAGTGGGTGCAAGCAGATTGGTTGATGTGAAAGCGTGGGCCCAATGTGAATCCACAAATTAGCAGCCTCCCTGGCGCTTGGGCGTGTTCATGTGAACATGCGTGACAATTGGTTCAGGCCTTTAGTTGATGGGGAGACCGGGGCAAACTCTGTATTTACAAAAGTCAACCTGCAATACAATCGTCGCGAAGTCTCTAAGGACGCCCCGAGAGGATGTCTGATGCGGGCAAGTCACATTCTGGAGATTCTGTGGATCAAACTACTCTAGCCTAGCCTGTGATTGCGCCGTCAACATCTCCTTGGATGAGTGGTTCGTGGCACTGTGTTCAACTGGTGGTTCAACCAAATCGATCTGAGCAACATGTCAACATGCAGCATCTCTCTTTGGTGGTTTTCAATCGATAAGTGTTCTTAGCATTTGTGCAAGATCACAAGATTTAAAAGGTTGTGCCCGAACTTCAACTCCAAAGTCTACCGAATCTGCTGCCGAATCTCCAAAAGCGCGGCGTGCCGAAATTGCAAAATTGCAACAGCTCACGCCGTGTTGGAGATGTGCTGCGGAGTGTGACTCTACGACCTGTCTATCAACTGAGACACGACCTCGAGGAACATTGGATCTCCTGTTGCTGCCTTTCCATCGGGTACTTTGGCCATACGATGGAAGGCCGTCACAAAATTCACGGTGTCAAACTCAGAGTGATGCATAATGCATACATTCAGAACATCTTTGGCAGCTGCACTCATGCTCAAACGCCGGTTCAGCTTCGCATTCTCTGAATCCTCACGCGGTCTCCGCGATCTGGAGAAAATTGAGTAGGGACCACTGTAGAAGGACTGCCTCACGACCTGAATGCGATGCAACACACCGACCTTGACCATCCTGGATAACCACCAAACCTGTCAGACTGGACAGGTAGCTGAATCCTCAAGGCTAGGCTTGGGCTTGGCTTCCTAGCGTTTGAATCGAAAAAAATCCATGAAGTACCCTTGCTCTACTGCTAAAAAATACGTAAGGTACAATTAACAACATCGTTTGCAATAGGTGCAAAGTGCCTTACTAGTAACAAGTGCCTTACTAGTAGTAACATCGGCTCATTTAACACTACTTGCAATCCAAAAAACCGGTTGGGTCTCTGCAGTCTCCTCGCGATCGCCATGGCCCCTCTCCAAGGCGTCCTTGGGACGATGTTCTATTTGAGCCCTTCGGGACTCCTTCGAAGCACTAAAATGAATTCTCAAGCTACTAGCGATGGCCTCCAACCTATTTATATAAATTCTTATCAACCTTGGAACCTGCACAGACCTGTATACTTTGTGAGGCCAGGGTGTATTGTCAACAGCCGAGTTACTTTTGGAAGGGCCGAAAGCGGGTTTGGGTGAGCTACTGTAGCTGTGCTCTTCCACCAGGAACGGGGGGCTGCGGGCTAGCTGGTCTTTTAAATGAACCAAGCTTGCCTGTCATGACCTCCATCCTGATAACGATGGCCTCCTACTTAATAGGAATGGCCTCCAACCTAGAAGCGATGGCCTCCATCCTAGTAGCAATGGC